GGGGGGCGGCGGGCGGCTGCTGGGTCTCGGCCTCGCTGCTCATGGTTGCGGTGATGGTGACTGGGGCCGGCTGCGGCAGCTGCGGCTCCTCCCGGGGTGTGATGGTAACTAGGCCGGCGGCGGCGGTGGGGCTGCTCAGGGCTCTCTGGGGGTCCGCTCTCCGCTCCCGCTACCGATCGAACTAGCGAGAATGGCGGGACAGGCGGGATAAGCCCTACGATCGGCCCGCCCTCGGCATTGCTTACAGGCCAGCAGTGCTGTCAATCTCACCACCTGACCCCAGTTCCTGGCTTCTATTGGCTAATACTTTATCACTCCTCCACCCTCATTGGCCCTTAGGTGGCTAATTCAGCCGACCTACAACCGTTCCTGCCTCCGCCGGCCGCCATAGAGACCGGAACTAGAATTAGAGTAGTCACCACGAGAACCATAGAGTACCCGAGAGGACGAGCAGAGAAAACGTGACTTTCACGAGGCTGCAGCCCGGGCGGGCGGGCCCCACGTTCAGGATTGTGTTCCGGCTGAAGAAAAGGCTTGACCGAACGCTGAGCAGGAATTACCCGGCCTGACCTGCCGCTTGGCAGGGGGCCGTACGACAACGTAGACCCTCGTGGAGAGAAGGCCTCCTTTCCTGCCTGCTCCAAATACGGTCCTTGTGATCTCGGACCATTACCGCGGGCATAAGTCAGTCGTCTTTTCTTTAATGGCCGTGTACTCGCGGCACAATCGAGGGTTTCTGGAATTGGCTTAAACGTGTGCAATAGTGTACGCTTTTGTCGTGGTCACCTTGGAGGGACCGCGCAGGTTCTCGGGCTCAGCACGTTTAGGGCGAGGGTACTCCGTGGGGATCTGCCTTCTGATCCGTTTTTCCAGGTGCATAAGAATTGTGTTTTCCTTATTAAGTATTCACATCTTTGTATGTTGACCACGAGTCAGACTTAATTTCAACTCACGCTTATTGGACGAACAAGACTTTTTATCATTTTATTGCTATAATAGTCATGTGAAATAGGGATTACTATCCACGTTTCACAAACGATAAAATCGAGGCTGCCACCCACCTCCTTTCGTTCTTTTTTAAGCGTCTATTATCGGTTGGAAATGGAGTCGTTGGCGAGTCAGTTTCTACTTTGTGAAGGAGGCAGAAATTAAGCAGCCAGCGCTGCAGAAGCACGAAGCGTTTTGAGAATGGAAGCAGGGAGAAGGTGGAATGCTGACTTTCCAAGAAAGGGAGATTGATGCAAGGCCTATGGGCGAGAAGAGATAGAGTCTCAAGAGAATTGAAAATGAAGCAGTTCAACAAGACTAGAATGAAACATTGGGTTACAGAGGTGAGCGGGTTCAATTAGGTGTATTCAATTTGAGATTTACCCTAAGGGCGTGAGTGAGAAGGGCAATTTTAGAATTGTAAGTAGGGAGTGGCATCTTTAAAAAAAATGATGAACAGAAAATGGACTGTAGAGGGCAAGGAATGAAAACAGGGAAGGCATTTAGGAGGCTAGTGCAGTAAGGCTTACCCCTATCAATATAGTCTAGGCCTGTCAATTCCGCCTAAGAGCCTTCCTGAATGGGTCCTAAAAACTCTGAGTCTCTTCATTCCTACTGCCACTACTCTATAGACCAGCGTTCCCCAACCTTTTTGGTATCAGCAACTGGTTTCGTGGGAGACAGTTTTTCCGGGGTGGGGGATGGTTTGGGGATGATTCAAGCACATAACATTTATTGCGCACTTTATTTCTATTATTACATTGTAGCATATGAAGTAATTATACAGTTCACCATTTAAAATAAAAGAGGTGCTGACAAATGGTAAATAAAATAATGGGCAGGCCACACAGACTAAAATGTCAGATTCTGACTTAAAGCCTGCCACCAGATGCAGCTGTACAACTGAAATACATCAACTCACTTGCCACTCACTGGTAGGGTTTTGATATGAGTCTGCAAGCAATTGATTTATTATGGTCTCTGTGCAATCAAACCTCACTGCTAACGTTAATCTATATTTGCAGCTGTTCTGCAGTGCTAGCATCATTGCCTTAGTGCCACCTCAGATCACCAGGCATTAGATTCTCATAAAGAGTAGCAACCTAGACCCCTCACATGCACAGTTCACAATAGGGTTCCGGTTCCTGAGACTCTAACGCTGCTGCTATGACAAGAGGTGGAGCTCAGGCAGTAATGTGTGCGATGGGGAGCAGTTATAAATACAAAGGAGCTTCACTTGCTTGCCTGCTGCCCATTTCCGCTGCGCAGTCTGCTTCCTAACAGGTCACAGACCAGATTTGGGGACCCTTGCTATAGGCCATCATCAATTGCTTAAAACAAGGGTAGGCAAACTTTTTCAGTAAGGACCAAATAGTATTTCATCTTGGTGGGCCATTTGGTGTTTTGTTTTGTTTTTTTTTTTGCTTGAGTCAGTAGTCTCACTCTGATGCCCAGTCTGGAATGCAGTGACACCATCACAGTTCAGTACAGCCTCGACCTCTTGGGCTCAAAGGATCTTCCTGCCTCAGCCTCTGAGTAGCAGGGACAGCAGATGTGTGCATCATGCCCGACTAATTTTTTGACTTTTTGTAGAGACAAGGTCTTGCTATGTTGCCCAAGTTGGTCTTGAACTCTTGATCTCAAACATGCCTCCTGCCTCCACCTTCCAAAGCAGTGGGATTACAGGTGTGAGCCACCATGCTCAGCCTGCCACTTGGTTCTTACTATTCAACTTTAGAGCCTGAAAACAGCCATAAATGTGCCTGTGTTCCAAAAAAAATTTTATCTGTGTACACTGGAATATGAATTTCATGTAATTTTTACATGCCACAAAACATTGTTTTCAACTATTTAAACATTAAAAAACTATCTTATTCTTAGCTCATGAGCCATAGAAAAACAGGGAGTGTAGTTTGCTGACACCTGGCTTAGAGCACGGCTGTGGCCTCCTAACCAGACTCTCTATTCTTTCATACTCTAATATCCCCCACCATAACAGCTAGAAAGTTTTTTTGAAAACATCTGATCATGACACTGACTTACTTAAAATTTTCCAGTGCCTAGCATTATTTTTAGATAGTCCAAATTATCTTTTTTTTTTTTTGAGTTGGAGTCTCACTCTGTTGCCCAGGCTGGAGCGCAGTGGCACACTCACAGGCACCGCAGCCTCAACCTGCTGGGCTCAGGCAATCCTTTTGCCTCAGGCTTCCAAGTAGCTGGAGCTACAGGTGCACACCACCACACCCTGCTAATTTTTTTATTTATTGTAGAGATGAGGTCTCACCAAGTTGCCCGGGCTGGTCTCCACCCTGTGGGCTCAGGTAATCCTCTCACCTCAGCCTCCCAAAGTGCTGGAATTATAGGCATGAGCTACTGCACCCAGCTGATACTCCAGATTCTTTAATGTGGTTTACTGGACTCTGACCTTTCTAGGCTTACCTCCTTACTCATCTTTCGTGGTCCCTGTCCAACCTTCCAGGTGCTCTTTTAGCCATTGCTTCCTTCGGATCACATACTGTTCCCTGTATCTGTAACACTCTTCCTGTCCTCCTCCTTTCTCTTTGACTCCTTAATTCTTCATCCTTAGGTGTAGGCTCAGATGTTACTAGGCTGAGTCCCTCTCATCCTAATGCACTGTAGCATTGCTCTAATTACATTTTCCCTACCAGGCTGTGAGTTCCTCAAGCATCTTGCTTAGTGCCTGACACATAATACCTCAATACATTTGTTAAATGAATGACAGAGTGTAAAAAATGAATTGAAGAAGGGTACTGGCAGCAGAAAGGTCATCTGTGCTGCTGTGGCAGTAATCCAAATGTGTATGGAGAGTAGATGGAGTCCACAGCTGCTGTTCATCTTTTGAATATTAAAAATCTTGCCTCAAAAGGCAGATCTGCCAACACAGAGGACATTTAAAAGCATGCCCTATAGGTTTGAGAGCTTTTTATCCCAAGTTAAATTACACTTAGAAAATTGCAGCAGTACTTCTAGTTAAGTGAGCAACCTCCCTATGTAACTGCTTTGACTGGCTTATCAAGCAAAAATACAAATTCTGTACCATTTGTCTTTAAAATGTTACTTTAAAAAGTATCATTACTTACTCATCCAATTATTTCATTCAGCTCTCTTCCTACTCAATGAGTATGAAGATGAGCTGTTTAAGAATGAAACTAAGGCCAGGCACGGTGGCTCACGCTTGTAGGCCCAGCACTTTGGGAGGCTGAGGTGGGAGAACTGCTTGAGCTCAGGAATGCCAAACAAGCCCAGGCAACACAGCAAGACCTTGTCTCTCTATAAAAAAATTAGCTGGGCATGGTGGCAGACAACTGTAGTCCCAGTACAGTTTTGGGAGACCAAAGCAAGATAACTGCTTCAGGCCAAGAATTCAAGCAAGCCCTGGAAAACACAGCGAGACCTTGTGTCTGCAATAAATTAACCAGGCGTGGTAGCATGTGTCTGCAATTCCAGCTACTTGGGAGGCTGAGGGATTGCCTGAGCCTAGGAAATCGAGGCTGTCGTCAGCCTTGATTATACCACTGTACTGCTGCCTGGGTGGCAGAGAAACCCCAACTCAAAAACAAAAGCTAGTTTTCTTTTTATGAGTTGGAGACTCACTCCATTGCCCAGACTGGAGTGCAGTGGCACGATCCCAGCCACCGCAGCCTCGACCTGCTGGGCTCCGGCGATCCTTCCGTCTCAGCCTTCCGGGTAGCCTGGAATTACAGGCACGTGCTATCACACCCGGCTGATTTTTTTTTTTTTAATTTATTTATTGTAGAGATGAGGTCTCACCAAGTTTCCCAAGCAGATCTCGAACCTGTGGGCTCAGGCAATCCGCTCACCTCGGCCTCCCAAAGTGCTGGGATTACAGGCTGAGCCACCGAGTCCAGCCAAAACCTAGTTTTCTTGTGGCCAGCTCTTTACCATTAAGATGGCACTGAAGCACAAGAGTTCATGTCAGATTTCATTTACTGTTCCAGAGTGGGAGCTTACACCACCCAGCTGTCCATGGTGACTACAGTACAGGCAACTCCAGTGACTGCCTTTAAGTGGTGTCAGGAGCAAAGGGATTCATCCCAGAACTTCTTTTGCAAAATAACCTTCATCTTGTCCCCCCAACTCTAACAGATTTTGGCCTAAGATCATAGTTCCCTCTTCCTGGAACATCCTCCCCACCCTGTTGATCTGGCTAATTCCAACAAATCTGTCAATACTTACCTCAAATCTCGCCTCTTCCAAGGAGCCTTTTTTGACTTCTCTCATACCACTATGATGCAGTCATTCATGCAACAAATATTTACTGAGCATCTATTAGGTATCTTACCTATTAGCTTACCTCTTCCAAGTGCTGGGAATACATCAGTTAAAAAAACAAAAGCCTAAGCTTCCCGCCCTAAGGGTGTTGCATTCTATTACTTACACCTTGCACTGGAACTGTGCCTGTCTCCTGTCACAAGCATGGGTCATATCTTACTCATTTTTGCAGCACCAGTGCCTAGGACAGTAACTGGCACAAAATGTAGGTGAACTCAGCTGAACAAGAATGTCTGCTCAGGATCACAGCTGTCACCCTCCTTCCTATCTCTTTACAGTTCCACCCTATCTAGTTACTTAAAGATCTCTCCTCCCCTAGATCAGCAGATTCTCTGCTTTATACCCCAAAAAGCCTGTTACTTGGCTAGAGAGAGTTGCAAATATTTAGACTGCAGGACCCTAGTATATCTCACCAGCTCTCCCTTGTCCTCTGATACACTGAAATGACACTGTCATAGAATTCAGCTATTTGCTAACTCTGCTGCCGCAGAGTCCTGCTACCAGGACTCATGAGGCCTCCCTTCCCACAAGACAGGAAAAAGTAAATAGGGATGGGAGAACATAGAAAATGAATCATTAAAAGAACACAAGGGAACTTCTCTTCTTTCCTTCTTCAACCTTGGACGCACTGGGAATTTTTTTTTTGAGTTGGAGTCTCACTCTGTTGCCCAGACTGGAGTGCAGTGGCCACTCCCGGCCACTGCAGCCTTGACCTGCTGGGCTCCGGCGATCCTTCTGCCTCAGCCTTCCCAGTAGCCGGAATTACAGGCATGCGCTACCGTGCTCGGCTGCTTTTTTGATTTATTGTAGAGATGAGGTCTCGCTGCCCAGGCGGGTCTTGAACCCACGGGCTCAGGCAATCCACTCACCTCAACCTCCCTG